CCAGCCACATACACCTGAGCTGGTGGGTTCGAATCCAGCCTGGGCCTGCCAAACAACAATGACGGCTGCAACCAAAAAACAGCTGGGCATGTGCTGGGCGCCTGTAGTCCCAGCTACTTGGGAGGTGGAGGCAGGAGAATCACTTAAGCCCAGGAGTCAGAGGTTGCTGTGAGCTGTGATGCTACTGCACTCTACCCAGGGTGACAGCTTGAGGCTCTGTCTCAAAAAAAAAAAAAAAAAAAAAGAATTAAAATTCTGTATGTGATTTATAAAAGCACATATAGAGCCTGGTTTTTTTGCTTGTTTTGAGACAGTCTCACTTTGTTGCCCCTGGTAGAGTGCCATGGCATCATAGCTCACAGCAACATCAGACTCTTGGGCTCATGCAATTCTCTTGCCTCAAACCTGAGTAGTTGGTACTACAGGTGCCCAACATAACACCCAGCTATTTTTAGAGGCAAGGTCTCGCTCTTGCTCAGGCTGGTCTTAAACCTGTGAGCTCAGGTAATCCACCCACCTTGGCCTCCCAGAGTGCTAGGATTATTGGCATGATAGAGCCCAGTTTTAAATATGAAATGAATGTTATAACCAAAGCTTGGGCTTTTGCTTAGAGATTTTTTCTACAGTTCCTGTGCATCACTTCTCAGCCTTTTGGCTAAGATGAAGTGTTAAAGGGAAAAATAAGGAAGACCCAGGTAGGAAATAACATGTGGAAAGTTGTAATCTTTTTAGGCAGATGGCCATAGAAGGCTTCATTGAGAAAGAGCCATTAATGATTTTTTTTAAAAAAAAAAGGCTATTGCACAATACTGAAAAAAAACAAGGGAAGGTTTGTGGGTATGAAAAAGGATCTAACCAGTTAGTATAGTAACTGACAAAGAACTCCTGTGTCTTGGTTTTAGAGAACAGGCTGAGCCTATCTCTAACACAAAACAAGCAGGGATTATGAATAAGAACAAAAAAACTGGCCAGGCATGGTGGCTCATGCCTGTAATCCCAGCATTTGGGAGGCCGAGGATGGTGGACTACCCTGAGCTCACAGGTTCGAGACCAGCCTGAGCCAGAGTGAGACCCATCTCTAAAAGACAGCCAGGTATTGTGGTGGGTGCCTGTAGTCCCACCTACTCGGGAGGCTGAGATTAGAATAATTGCTTGGCTCGGCGCCTATAGCTCAACCGGCTAAGGCGCCAGCCACGTACACCTAAGGTGGCAGGTTCGAATCCCCAGCCCGGACCCGCCAAAC